CATGGTCAACCGTGACCATGGGACCTGTAAGGGGCCCGAAACGTCGGTTTGTTTGAAAAAACAAATATACGCTATTTAAATCCGGAAAAACAGTTTCATTTCCTATGTGTAACAATCGCGAAAACCTAAGAACTCGATACGTATAAATTAACTTTGGTAGTTTCATGTTGAGCCTCAAAACAAAGACAAATGAGTATTAAAAAACCTGAAACCATGTTCGAAAACGCGAGTAAAGTCGCTTCTGCTTTTTCACGTACTAACCTAACGTCACCTACTAACTGAATGGAGGGCGCAACCAAGCTGTGAAAAAAGAGGATCTAATATAATTTTTGACTATCAAATAATAATTTACTATGCTTAAACGTAATGATAGCGTTACATTGAATGTAGTTCATTTATTCGTAGATGAACTAATATCGACAGAATAATTAATAATGTGTATCAAATGTATATCAAACATAAAAAAAACATCGTTTATTTAAAAGTAATGCACAGTTACAATAGGTCAATTATATCTTTGAATTTGAATGCGCACACACTCCTAGCCTCGCACTAGACAACCACAAATTACACCCGAACGCACGAGAGAAATAAATGTAGGCCATACAAATATTTTTTCCAGCCCGGGAATCGAACCCGAGACCTCTGCGTGGCAGTCCAGCATGGTAACCTTTCGGCCGCGGAGTCAGTTGGTATATATGCTTTGATAAGATTTTGGAATTGTAAGGAATAACCATATTTGGGGCAGGTTGAAAATATATGATCCAACTTGGTCAAATTCGCATAAATCACTATTGACAATTTAAAAATTTTGCAAGGTGTACAGGAGTATACAACCATGACCCAAATGTATTTAGTAGCAGTAGAGCTTCTTGTGAAAGAGTTCGTTCAGAGTAGTACTGCCACCTTACCTATTTATGCCGTCTAACAATAATGTCAGCATTACTGCGTTCCGGTTTTAAAGGGTAAGGGTGCTGAAATTACAGGCACATGAGACTTATCAACCTGTCTCAGGGTGACAGGTACAGTGACAGTGCCCCTCAGATCTTTGTCTTCTAAAGCTCTGAGTGGCACTGCGCCTGTCATGGACAGGCGTGCGGCTTACCGTCAGGCGCACGACTTGTTCGTCCCGTCACCTGCCATCATATAAAAAATAAAATACTAATCAAAACAGATGTTGCCAATCTATTAAATTTAAGTGACGAAATCCATGCTTTTACAGGAACCGAAGGTTGAATATAATGTAACTTGCAGTCCATACGTCAACTTGCATTGTTGCTATGTGACGAAATTTAATATTTGGCTTTCAATTAAGTTGATCACTATTAAGCAAAACTTCAATGTATTGCTTATACCGTAAGGTACAAATTACTTTAACATTTTATATTGAACGTATAAAGCTGGGTACTCACTAGCGAGCTGTAACCGTATCCGTTGCATGTTATGTTACCAAAAACCATAGTATGTACGTGGTTCATGAGCTTGCCGCAAGCGGAACGCGTGCGGTTCGCAGTGAGCCAACGATAACCAGGTACTGACTCGTGAAGACTGTTTTACGCGTACACACTAGAATCTCGTTACTGTATCTCTAACGTTACAGTTACAGCTCGCTAATGAGTACTAGCTTAGGAAGGCCCACGGGACCAAGCCTTAGTATAATAAGAACAAGAACGGCAATTCCCGTCTATTCAACGCGAAAATGCCTACACTTTGCTCGCAGCGTAGTGTAAGGTGTAAGAATGTAGTAAACATAATTTGAAAAAAAAAAAGGTACATAGCAGTACTTTCGTTTTATATTTAAATAATCTTTGTTAAATGCAGTAACTTTCTTTTTTAAACAGTAAGTAGTCTTTGTTAAACAGTAAGTAGTATAATTATGAAATATAGAAATGAAATGCTGAATAATTCTGAATATGAAGCACTTTTGTTGAAACTACCACGAACACAACAAGGAACACGTCTACTATTTGATGTCATTTTTAAAACTCCGAACGAGTGATTTAATTTTATAATGAATGGCGTGTGAGACGATCCGCGCTACTGTGATACTATGTGAATGTGTGTGTCCGTACACGGCCAGTGGCGGGCGTGCACACATACAAGCCGCGCTGCTACTTTTGCATGGAGTTATCATATTGGTCTTATTATACTATGACCAAAGGGTCGAAGTAAAGAAGTCGTATCTTAGGAACAGCGTGCACGATCGGCCTACCTAAAGATAAGTAGATCCGTCTAAAATCTTTTTACAAAATATATAGCGTAGAAATTGGCAGTCAAAAATGTCTAGAGTGTTTATAACTTATTCTGCCGATGAATTTTCTTTGCTCTTATAATATCAACTAACGAAAGAAAATAAATATCAGTCGAATAAAATATTTATGTGGTCTTCTAAGAAATTACACATTACGTAAAACTTTAAAGGTCTAAAGTTATCAAATGCACTGGAAAAGTCATACCATACAGGTTTAGTGGAGGTATGCTTTCTCAAGGTTACTGGAGCAGGTAAATCACTTAATTAATCAATAATGCCTGCCCGCCCACCGAGGCAGCAAACCTGAGAACCGAATGTGGCTTTATGAGTTTGATTGTTACTTATTGCCGCATACGTAGTTTACTTGGTAGATACAGCAATATAATATAACCAGCAATATATACATATAACCAATTGTAGACTAATGCAGTCTTAAAGTAGTAATATCTACTACATTAGTTCACAATTGGTATAGGGTCAACACGACAGAATGTGGCTATATATATATACAGGTCGGGGTAGCGATGAATCTTTTTTAAGTTTTGTGCCATTTTTCTCACACGCAAGCACTTCATTGGAAAATATTTGGGGAAATATAATATAAATAACTAAATAAATAACGCACACACTCAACATAGCCCCGCAGTAGGAAAACTCTGTGTCGCGGGTGCCTCCACACACATAGACACCCACAAATTACATCCAAACTCACGAGAGAAATAATTGTAGGCCATACAACTATTTCTCCCGACCCGGGAATCGAACCTGGGACCTCTGCGTGGCAGTCCGGCATGGTAACCGTTCGGCCAAGGAGGCAGTTATATATTTACCCATCCATGTCAGGCCACAATCATTCAAATTTACGTACACTGGTATTTTGGCAATCAACTGTAAAACTGAGGTAACAATCCCGAGGGCCTTCGTCAGGGGCCGCCCGCGTCGCGAGTGCGCTCGCGCAGCGTATCCGCGTTCCATCCACTCTGCTGAACTTGACATATTTGTGTACCGTATAATGTGACGCTATTTCTCGCAGCCTTTGAGCCGCAGGAATTTGACCCAACGCTGCTCCACAAATGTTATTGTCACGGCCTCTCTAAATATACTAAAGGTTACCTACATCACAGAAAATGCTTAAAAAGGCATTTTCCTGAAATTAGGATACTCAATCAACAACTTCAATAAATAGTAAGATAAACAATAAAAGAAAATAAGTGTAGCATAATTAAAACCATTATAACAACCACCAATTTATTTCAAAAAATATTTAAGTATTTCATTTACCTAAAAAGTAATCTCGAGCTTGAAATGATAAATTCATTGCTCAGCCAGTGGTAAATACAAAGTTAAATTCTACAAATGAGATAACACTGTATGTAATACTTTTTGCGCATATTAATAATTACGTTAAACAAAACAATCTTTTTACGTCAGTTTAGTTACATTTTAAATCACTGTTATCTGCAGTGTACTTTTTGACACTGAAATACATAATCGACATCGAATTTCGACTGTATTCATTTTACACATATTCACTCATATGTCTATACTTATGGTAAAGTCACCCTGATATGTATGTCAATAATTTTCTATAAATAAGTTGCTTTTTACTAGATTCAGTGTTTATTAATAACAGTTATGTCGGATGCGTTATTCGGGAAGAAGACAGGAGATTCAGAGTACGACATCTGAGTAGTATAGTAATACGATCGGTCCATATTTTTCACCAGATTCTGCAATAACGTTTGTTGTTCCAACAACAATGTGTTTAAGTGGCGCATCTCCTGGTCTATTTTCTTCAAATTAAATGTAGTTTGATCAATTTTCTCTTGCATTCCTTTAATTTCAATACTAAAGCTATGATCATTTGGTTGAGACTCGTTTTTGAATTTGGATGAGTACTTATTCTTGTACAATATTTCTTTCACAGATCTTCCAGTCTTGACCTTGTTCATTTGAGCCAATTCATATGCAGCCATCATTATGTCTGTTGGCAATCGTTTTTCGCGCGGATTTAACGGCTTTACGCTAAGTATGACTTTACCTGCTTCTGGAGACACTAATGCAGTCCTGTACACATATTTATGAAGACATTTTGGAAGCAATGCACTGAACATACCCATTTCAACGAACAAGATAAGCTTGGTTTGTCTAACTAGTTTAGATAGCCCGGCGGTTTTCCGGAGACCTTGAATATCGTGAACAGCGATACCAACGAGCAAATTCATCAAGATTATGGTGACAAACATCAGGAATAATATGAATATAATTTGAGATGATAGTTCGAATACCAATGGCGGATCATCTTTTGTAGGATCGTTAATAAGTATACCCAGATTCAATTCACCGACCATCATTGACAATGTGCTAATAATTCCAATTAACGGGTTAGCAAACATCTCTTCGTTAGGAAATATTACACAAAAACAAATAGTAAATCCGAGTAAAACGCATACGTACGCTAGCAGTAATTTAAGGAATTCTTTTAGAACTTTTTGATACATGGCTACGTAATCTCCAAACATAGGCAATTGACCCATCATTAGCATTAGATTTGTCCAGGCCCCTAGAACAGCATACCCTCCGACGTGGTTTTGCCAGCTATAATCTTTATGAACATTATATAATGAAAACACTGAAAGCAAGACAAACCACTCCATCAAATTTTCAAAAGTAGTAAAATATTGATAAATACTAGAGTATCCGGTTATACCTGTTAGTTTTCGCATAATTTCGAAAATTGTAATTACAATCAGAACCCATCTTTCAATGTGTATAGGATTATCTTCTAAAATGTCGCCTATAATAGACTGATTTTGACAAAGCTCGTTTGGTACTCCGTATTTATTTGCATATTTTCCTTCGCAAGTTATCACAACAGCAGTCAACACGAAAATAGACAAAAAAGTCACAAACAAGAAACAAAAGATCAATCGAGCCAAGTAAAATTTTCTTATCTTTTGCCATTTCATGTAAAGAAATGCAGAGCATAACGGATGTTGCAAAATATCTTTTTGCCCCTCGTCGACGAAACTGTTTAAGTAAGTGATTTCACGGGGGTAAGAAAACTTCAGTAATCTCCCAAAGTCGAACTCGATTTGAATTTCTTCATTACCTTCTGAGGAACGACTAAGGGAAATTCCGCAGTCTAAGTTATATCTTAGAATCGCAAGAGATTTGGGTGTTTTCCTAGTTATTACACTCAATGCAGTATGACCTTTCTTTGATTTCGAAGTTACATCGGCACCTAAGAAAATCAATGTCTCAACGCAAGCCGTTAAACCGTCCATAGCGGCCAAATGCAAAGGGGAATAACCATACTCGTCTTTCTTATTGACTTGCGCTCCCCAGCTAACTAGCATATCAATTATGTCGCAAGCTCTTTCTGATCGACTTATTGCGGCATGTAAAGGTGTCCTCTTATCATAATCTTCGGCATTAGCATCCGCGTTACCGTCTCTTAAAAGAACTTCGACACATTCTAAACTTGAACATCGCGCAGCAAGATGAAGAGCTGTTAACCCTTTGTAATTTTTTATACTAACCTTAGCACCTTCGGCTAACAATAACTCTACGCACTCTGCAAAACCTCTGGTAGCTGCTAAATGTAAAGCCGTGCTTTCTTTATCTCTCTGTTTAGTTACACCATTCACACTTATCTTTGTTTCCTTAAGCAAGTAAGCGAGACAACGTTGAGCGCCAAGTTCTGCTGCCAAGTGCATTGCATTTAAACCTCCTGACGTTACGTAGGATGGATCGACACCTTTTTCTATAAATAGTTCCATACACTCTACAGCGTCAGCTCTAACTGCGCAGTGTACAAGATTATCTTCACAGCCAGCTCTTTGTACGACGGCATGTAACGAAGCACCTGAAGCAATTAGAACTTCAGCCGTTTCTAAAGAGTTTCCAAATGCAGCGCAATGCAGTGGGGCAAAATATTTTGGCGCAAAATCAACATCAGCACCACGAGAAAGTAAATACATAACTCCTCTCCCAGCTCCACTGAAGGCGGCTAAATGTAAAGCTGTAAGACCCGCCGACTCTGAATGATGTATATCTGCTCCAGCGTCCAAGATCGGTGGTAGCAACTCATCGCGAGTTAAAAATGCCACCCAAAGCAAAGTTAAATTAACTACTACTTCCGGTGCTGAGCTAATGTGTTCTTCAATGTTTTCAGCAGTTATTAATCCACACTCCACGTCATCAAAAAATCGCCCAGCGCCTAATGTTTGAGCTCTTTCGCAAAGGCCTCTTCGCACAGCTTCTTCGGTCAATTTGGCTTCAGGATCGGGTGCCAGTACATCAAAACTGTGATACATGTTAGGTGCATCATCTGCTGGAGGTGATGGACCAACAAACAAATATTCTTTCACCTTACCAGGGTCCTGGGCATTTTCCAGTAAATCTATATTCTTTACATGGCGGTACGAGGCGTTAAGAGGAATTTCTTCTTGTTCACGTGTTCTTGAATTGAAACTGCCAGTGAAACGACCCCGAGTTGGGGTAGCTGTGGTTGGAGTTTGTGAAGGTGATGACCACCCCATTTCACGATATCCAAAGTTGTCCATGGTCTAAACCTGACTAAAAGAAACTAGAGTCATCTCTGTGCTATTATCTATCTTATCTTGTTTGTTTTATCAGAGCTTCTGCAAACTAAGGCTCGTCTATATATCAGTCCCCGCTCACTTTGTATTATGAAGAAAATTGGCAAAGGGTTACATTCTCCTAGGACGAGGTTTGCCTTGTACAAATAAGATCTACACTAAAATTTAAAACATGAAACATTATTGTTACCCATGATTAAAATTGTCAGGAAACAAGAGAGTTCTTTCATCATATAATCTGTGCACATGCCCTAACGTCATTAATTGACGTCGCTTAGTGATTTATGGTTTTATTTTTAAAACGTGTAATTAAGAATTTTGAAAGGTTTATTTCTCAAAATTTTGAACGCTATCGTAATTGTAAAATAAATATGTAAATAATGTACGTAAAGAATTACGTATTACACAGACGAGTGTTGTTATTATTATTTCCTTATCATTACCTGCTAAGCAGTAGGTCTGTACATATCACCTAGCTATGCGTATTGCAAGTACTTACAAGAGTACAGTTCGTGCAACTTATGATGGGACTTCATTTCTCATATTCAGTGTATCATATCACATCTGTCATGTCTCACGCGTTTCATATCTCACCTTAGTGATAGGACATCAACCTCGTATGTTACAAAGGACATGTTTGCGCATGCTAGTTCCACCTGCATTTCAAATATTTGTGTGTACACGCAAAGCGCCTTGTGCAATGTGTATGAAAATGATATCTCTATGAAAATAATATATACAATTTCAAATTTACCCTGCATATTTCTTTACAGATGTTAATGGTATTTGTGAAATGGACGCATTCGTCTATTACACTAGAATTTACAATTGTTAATGAACTCAATGTCAGATTATTATACCTTCACTTCACTTTTTATATTATACCTTAGTACCTAGCACGAAATAAATATCTAGTTCTTCTTGCGGAAACAGCTAGAAAATTATTTCTTCCTCTCTTAATTTCAAATAGATTGGATGACAGATTCAACTTGCCTCTTTATTCTTTCATACTCGTAATACACGGTGAACAGAAATAGTTTTTAATTGTTTTGTTTCCTGAGTTTGTGTACCATACTAATAATCATAATAAACATTTCGCACCCTTGGTCTAACTAACTGATAAGGCCACATGTGCAAGATGAAAATTTTTCAGGAAAGACTCTTAAAAATTCTACGAACGAAATTATTCTATAACTTTTTAATGCTTAAACAGGAGAGTTATAAAATTTCTAATATAATAATATATATAATAATATAAGTAATAAATTGGACCGGCTGCAAAATCAGTATATCAGATTTTTTGTTTGGATTGAAAAAGTACGATCACATTTCCAAGTTTAGAGACAAGTTGAAGTTGTTTCCTATTCGTTTACGTAGAAATACTAACATTTTATGCTTCCTCTATAAAATTATTTTCCAACCGACTTCCCTTAGCTATTCACGTGAGCGTTTTCAATGCCGTCAGGCTGTGGGTGGCCGCCTGCGTTCTGGCACTAATTTGACCCTCGTCTTTCCACAACACAGCTCCAAAAATATTCGGACAGTTCACAGTAAATGAAAATCACAATCAATCACAGAAACAATTTGAACAACAAGAGATTTTGCTAGGCCTGACTTAAACAAACGTGCTCACGATGCGTCTACTGTTGATTGGTCCGGGGTTATGGCAGCGCCCACTGTAGACTGCAAGCTGACAACATTCAGTGCCACCTTATTAAGTTTTTACGACAAGCATGCACCATTACGCTCAGTGGAACTGAAAAGACCACCTGCGCCCTAGATCACTCCTTTGGTGCGTATAGCAATGAGGAGGCGCGACAGAGCTTTTAGTAAATTTAAACGTAGTAGGTCTGAGGAAAACTAGGCTATTTTCAAGGCTCATAGAAATCGCTGTCTCCAGATGCCAGATCATCAGGTCGCTATTTTCATGACAACCTTCTCCACTCTTCTCCAGCTGACACTTGGAAATTTTTGAAATCTATTGACGCTTTACCTCATCCTTTCACTCTTGACGATGTGAATCGGCATTTCTCGGCTAGTGTCAGCACTCAATGGGCAGGCAAAGCGGATGCTCTCAAAGATGTTCCTTCCTTGTGCCGCCAACCATCTGAAAGTTTTGTATTTTCTTTGGTGTCGGAGTCCGTTATTCGCAAAACAATAATGTCTTTAAAGTCTAAAGCTGTTGGATGTGATGACATTAGTCGATAAATAGTGCTCTGCCTATTATTACTCACATTATCAACGAGTTGATACGTACGTACGTTTCCTAATAACTGGCGCAGGGCGCATGTGTTGCCTCTTCCTAAGATTAATAGCCCCACAACATCTCAACAAAAATTTTCTTAGTACAGACCATTATTTTTCCTATCCTTGATTATGCTGATGTATCTTTGATTCTCAACAAATTGGATCGCTTGCTCAAAAGTTGCATTCGCTTTATTTATGGACTTTGATCACGTGTCCGCAAGTCGCAATAAGCTGAAGTGGCTTACGATTCGCCAGCATCGTGATTTGAGAATAATTCCACTCTTTACTCTATCATTAATGATAAATGTGCTCCTGGATATTTGAAATGTAAATTTCGATTATGGGTGCATCCCATAATTGCAATCTTCGCTCTGACAGCAAATTGACACTTTTAATTCCTTTTCACCGTACTGGTTTCCTTTCTAACTCATTTACTCTTCAGGCAATACGACTCTGGAACGCTCTACCGCCCCATATTCAAAAAGCGCAGAATAAACTAGCTTTCAAGCCATTATATTAGTCCGCGATTTCATATTGGAGTCTCAATTAGTCTGACATTGCTATAAATAAATATGTATATTAAATATATGTGTATGTATTATATATTATGTATTTAGGTGTATATAGGTTGCTTATGTAAATATATAGTTAGTCATATAATATTGTGCTATATTTATATTGTGTTTAAACTATATATCATAATTATTTATAAACTTCTTTCAATCTGTTTTAATTATCATGTTATGCACCCCTGTCAATTATTTTGAACCCAGCTCTACGGTTGACTGGTAGAGAATGCCTAATGGCATTAAGTCCGCCATTTATACTGTTTTGTGTGCAATTAAGTTTAAATAAATAAATGCTGCCCGTATGTGGAACCTTCTCCCGGTAGAAGTCAGACAGTCGCCTACAGTTCGGATTTTCAAGGGTGCCCTTTTGATGTTTTGGGATTGTTCAGACTCCTCATGTTAGAGCTTATGAAGTATTTATTCACATTTGTTATATTTATATATACTTTTATTTTGTGCATATATTTTAGTTTAGAGTTTATGTGTATTATTTTATATATACATATGTATTCGTATGTATATTTGATGTAATAGATTTATCTATGTATTTATTGAGTATAGTAGCATTCAATTTCTTTATTTATTTGTTTTTATTGCCAACCCAAAAACCAACTTTCCTCTCAGTTTTTCAATGGTTAGTTGGAAGAAATCCCTTTGTGGGATAAGCTCGCATGCACACTAATATTCTAAATTGTTTTTTAAAATTGGTAATTTACTTTGTGGTACGATAAAGTGTTCAAAGAAATAATTAAATATAATTTTTTTTATGTAATTCGTATTATTTTTATGATTTTCATGTCACAAAGCACTTTTAAAGAGTCGCATGAGGCTTCATTATGCCAATAGCACGATTTACTGGCTTCAATATGATTAGGTAGGAGAGTTAATAATTTTTTATTGGGTTTTGTTGGAAACAAGAAATTAAGCGGAAAAAAATAGCAAAACATATAAATGATTATCTATAATACAAATGTACGTTTTTATAACATTTTGTGCATCAGCTACGGTGATATGAAATGGATTAACGGTGAAATAATAGGTGAGTAATATTTTGGAGCCAATAAAATTGTATAAGTAATTTACGACATGTACATGACAATGTGATAATAGCAAAACGCACTACTAAAATTTTTATCAAAATGTAATATATTGAATTTAAATACGTGTTTGGAATAAGGAGAAATCCATCTCAATGATTGTTGGATACACAGTAAGTTCAAAAGGCACAACTGACATCAATAATCAGTTTTCATAAAGTCATATTTGACATTTTATTCAATTAAAAGCACTGACTGTACAGGTTGTAATCGTTAAGCTTCTCTACGAATGTCATATTAAATGTATACGGACATTTAACGTTAAAATTTTGGATATTCGCAATTTTGTTTAAAAAACTTATTGATGTCATTTTACTCATTAGGTTAAGTACTTTCTATATCATTTAAAGGTTTTTGATATCTCTTACATTTATGAAAAAATCGCCTGGGCACTCTTAACGATTACACAATTATCGCCCGTCCACTATGGGGATCATTCTTCTTACCATGTCTATAATTTTGTTAATGTGAATGTAACTACACTAACCATCGCCTAAGAGGAGATTCGTGTCCAGCAGTAGGACGTACCTATAAATGAGTTGATAATGATGACGACTGTAACTAGAAGCTTCAAACATAATACATCTTTCAACTAGTCCAACCTTCGTTTACTCGAATTCATGGTTGTTGGTGGAAATGAAATGTCAAATACTTACTCCTTAATTCCGAAATCAATATTCAATTTCGGAACGTATTTTGTTAAGTTGGTTTTAATAGTCAATAATCGTTAGGGTTTGGTGTACGCCTTATCATTTTTTTGACTGACTTAAAAAAGGAGGAGGTTCTCAATTCATTACGCGATAACTCCGTTTGATTTGTGAACCGATTTTGATGATTCTTTTTTGTTGGAAAGAAGGTACCTCAGAAGTGGTCCCATTTAAATTTGAAGAAAATGTTCCACCTATAAGGGTGGCTAACTAGGGGATGAATGACTAATGCGGTCGGTTTTTTTTTATAATACAAAGTGACGGGACGAACAAGTCGTGCGCCTGGTGATAAACGACATGCCTGTCCATGACAGTTGCAG